TTTTTGTTTTTTTTTTTTTTTTTTTTTTTTTTTTCACAAATACTGTTTGCAGTAAGGGTTTGGCTGCTCATCCAAACTGGGAGAGGAATATTGTCTCCCGGGCCAAGCCTTGCTAGTCAGGCTCTGGTGAGGCTGGCAACATCGGAGCCACCTGCAAATACTCCCTTCGGGGGCTGCTGCTTTGGGGTGGGAAAAACCCTTCAGGGCCCTTCATAGCTTATTTTGCTCCATGTACGTACAGTCTACCCCATACAGCCCCTGACCAGTAGTTACTAGAAAACATGCCATGTAAAATTCTAAATCTTGATCTTTTTTTAAGAAGCAGGTGAAGAAAAATAGCTATATGCAGGTAGACCGTGCGTTAAAACAGACCTAAAATGCGTTTCTGCCTCAGAAGGACCAGGCAAGAGGGCTGACAATTAAAAGGACAGTAGACTTGGACCTCTGTCTGTGGGGAGGATCAGCTCCAAAAGGCAAAATGAGGTCACCTGAAAAAGGAATTTGTAAGATGCCTTTGGGGAAATAGGCTTGAATACGTGGCAAGGGAGACCTATCCACCTGAAGTCTGAATTGAACAAGGCTTTTTCTACAATAACATTCATATTTAGTACTGTCAATAGCAAACCTACTAAAAAAGCAGGAAGTCTGACACGAGCTTTACCAACAGAGATGCTCCTGTTGTTGCAAGCCTCCCATCTGTTCCAGACAGGGCTACTGATGCTGCTTCTGGTAGGGTTGGTTCAGTCCCCGGCAGCTGAGCGGGCAGGAGGGCAAGAGACAAACTAGGGAGCTGTGGCTGCTAACTGGGTAAATTTTTGCCAGAGCGCTGTTACTAATTGTCTGCTGTGTCTTCTAACATCTGTTAGTGTTTTGCGTTGAAGTACTGGTAAACTGAGAGACTATAAAAGTAGTTTTTAAGGTTATCCTAGGTACATCATCTCAGTCTTTTTTTTTTTCTAGAAAACTGAAATAGGTTGTATGGTAATATAGTAATTTGATATTTGGCAGGCAGTTAGGAATACAGAAAATTAGAAAGTAATTTTCTAAGTTTCTAATATCTAATACCTAAATAACTAAAGCTGTGGTATGCAAGAAATGAGACAAGTAATTTCATGGCAGTTTGAGGAATCGAGAAAATACACATCTGTTATAATGATTCGGGTTTTTTTGGTTTTAAAGTATACAGTTCTTTATGCTTTCTGATGTGCAAAGAAATAAGGTTATACACCAATACTCAAATTTGCAGAGGAAGAGGCTCACGTTTTTTCTCAGACACAAATCTGTACAGATATTTTGACATCTGTGTCTCAAAGTCTTAAAAAAAAAAAATCTGTGTTCTTTGTTTGTTCGTTTTTTACTTCATTTGTTAGATTTAATTGCAGAAGACAGTAAATCATCAACTTTTTTCGCTTCTTTCCAAGTTACTTTGATCATGGTGAATAAACAGAGAATTGGTTTGTCTCTGTTTAAGTTTGGCAAAATAGAGGGTGGCCTGAATGTTTGAACTGCTTCATTACAAATGAAAATAAAGTAAGAATTTCCTGAACACTCTGGTCTCAGTAGCAGGAGCTCTAAGAAGAGGAACCTTGTCCATTCTGTCAGATTAAGATGATTTTAAAAAGCTATGGGTTTTTACTGACTAGATTTAATCCCCAAATGTATTTTTGTAGTGCACATTTTTTAAAGTTTACCAAAACCTTTTTAAGTTAAAGCAAAACCTTTAGTTCTTAAGCGTGTAGAAAATATTTTGTAGCTGTATGAGAAACTGAAATTTCAGTATGTAATATGAGTATTTTCCTGAAACTGCTCCTGGTTTACTGGCTGAGACAATGTACAGCCTAAGAAGGAAAGCATGCGTTCATGTCACTGAAATTAAGACTGCAGCAGAAAGTGATTATATATAAGAAGTATGATGTCTCTTTCTGTAGGTAGACTATAATACACCAAATAGATATTTACATTAATAGGAATGCTGCTTCGATATCATGGTAAGGGCACTTGTTGCTGTTATGCAGCAGAGCTTTTGAGTGCAGCATTGATGCCTGTGTTTATTTGCGGTTACTGACTGCTTCCGAGATGTACTGAGACAACACAGTACCTGAGAACTGACATTTCCAGCCTTGTTTTTTCATTCACCTATTAAAACAACGCAAGATCTGTAAGGGTATTTGTTGGAGTGGATGCTCTTCTATTACATGGTGGTTTATAGCACTTACTAAATTATTCCTTTGTGTTTATCTAGATTAAGATAAGTTTTTCTTTGAACAAGGCAGCCATGAAGCATTTTATTATTTTGCGTCTCTTCTAAAACTTGAATGATAACTCTTTTTTTCTTCATTGTCTTAGCTGTAAAGGACCCTACAGCTGTAGAAAGAGCAAATTTACTGAACATGGCTAAACTGAGTATCAAAGGACTCATTGAATCAGCTTTGAGCTTTGGCCGCACTCTGGATTCTGACTACCCACCTTTGCAGCAGTTCTTTGTTGTCATGGAGCACTGCCTGAAGCATGGCCTTAAAGGTGTGGTAATTGCTCTAGCTGCATATTTCTCATCCCAAACATGCCATTTTTCTTCCTTCCTTTCTTGAATGAGATAAAATCAAAGTTTGTTATGTTGCTTTATAGAAGTGAAGAAAATATGTAAATCGTCGCCTTTTCTAATTAATAGTGTCATTATTAATACTTTACAACATACATTTCCATATTTTCCAACTTTTTCTTTTGTGTACCATTTGTTGTAAGTGGTCCAGGGATTACCACAACTGCACGTATGTATGTATGTAGCTTATATTTTTAGCTGGTCATCCGTTTTCTATTGTTTTGTTCTAGCACAGCAATTTTATGTTCACAGCGAAGTAATTCGGAAGATGGCTTTGGATACTGGTGAACTGACCAGTGTTGCAGTTATCTGTTATCTGGAAGTCTAGGCTCAGCAGTTAACCCTTTGGTCACACTAGCTATTTTGAAGGAAGCTACTCCAGTAATTTAAATTAATTCAGTTACTTAATTTTTCTTTTCCTAGTAAGAAAATCCTTTCTAAGTTACAATAAAACCATCTGGGGTCCTCTGGAACTTGTGGAGAAACTATATCCAGAAGCTGAGGAAATAGCAGCGAGTGTCAGAGATTTGCCTGGCCTTAAGTAAGTAGTATTGGTAAAATACAGCAAGAAAATAAAGGACCTGATTGACAATCTACAGATATGTCATGATTTTACTTGGCGTTAGTCAAACCTTTGAACAGCTAGCACGTGATATTGGGGAGAGCACAGGTGAATCTCGCTAGCTTTTCATGCTCTGTACAAAACAGCTAAAAAAGTAGGATTTTTGTGTTCTTTTCTTATGTTCCTGGGAGAAAAGTTTCCTGAATGGTGGACAAAAACGGTGCAAAAAGGAACGTGTTGTGTATCAAACAGTCTGCAGTCTAGAACTGCAGCAAACACGTGAGTCTAGTCAGCAAAGGCTGTATAAAAACGAAAGGTAACGTACTGAAGTGGAAAGTATTAGGCAGCTTTTCAGATTCTTGTGTTTAGGGTCCTTTTCAAATGTAAGTTTATGCTGTGAACTACAATCTCCTCCCATTCCTCTGCACTCTGCTTTTGTATTTAGCTTTATAATTGGCTGTACATTAAATTCTAAAAGGGTTTGGTTACATTGTGGTTGGTATATGGCGGCATAAGGGTTATAATTTATAGTTTTAGACTTTATCTACAGTGCATAGGTGTATAAATTATTATTTACTCTTGTATCAGGCCAGATGAAATAATACCCTTTGCCAAGTGCGTTACACTCTTCCTATCCTGATATAGCATTTACGTGCTTACCACTTCTTAACTCTGCAAACACTAGAAGAGGAGGATCTAAAGGTCCAGGCTTAATTCGCTGGATATGAATGTTTGCCAGTTACATACATTTTCATCTTTTTTGAATTGTCTTTCTAACATACCACTGAATTTGTAAACAAGTATGAGTTAGAGCTGGAATTCAGTACGTGTCGTGTAGACCCAGAGAACAGAATTGGGAAGGCAAGCTTGCATGAGGAGTTGTAACGGACATTCGGTTATTTTTCTCACAATTCCTCTGAAGACTTCACAAGCGAGTTGCAGAAAGGAGTCTGAATTGTTGCAGATGTTTTACTTCAGCTAGAAACAGGACTTCCAAGGTTATCTTTACAGGCACTGTCAGGTTAAGAAGGCGGCACTTACAGGAAGACAGCACCACTCTTAAAAATTCTTTCCATGCTTCTAGCCATGTACTCTGTGAGAACAAAGCACATTCAAATACAACAGTGTGTAGAAAGTTGCATGTTTTCACTCTCTGAGCAAAACAGTTACATTTACTGTCAGGCTCTTGTGCTTTCTATATTCCTGTTCTTTCCAGGGTCTGCTCCCAAGCCCAGCTGAGCTGATGAAAATTCTCCTGATATTATCCCAAAGCTTGGAGTCAAAGCCTAGACATTATGGCTTCCCAGACTGCATTGCTCAACTAATAGTTTAAAATACCTTTTCAGAAATACAAATTGCTCTACCAATAGACCGATGTTTAAGACAGTGAATTAATTGATATATTGTTGATTTGGGACTGTTTATCTTCATGGCCTTTTTTTCAGAACACCACTGGGCCGTGCCCGGGCCTGGTTACGGTTAGCACTAATGCAGAAGAAAATGGCCGACTATCTTCGCTGTTTAATCATTCAGAGAGATCTTCTCAGGTAAACTTAAGTAGATTTTGTTTGTAATTTATTTTTAGAGATTTAATCTCCTGAAAAAAAATTAGTATTTTCTATTTGCTACTTTTTAGTCTATCCTTAGTGTAGCAAGGTGTAGCTTCTGGCCTGTGGGCTGATTTCTTCCAGGCCTCAGGGTAGAAGGACCAAACACTGATTCCTCATCAAGACTGAAGGCCAGCTGATGGGTGAAGAGATGTTTCCTCCCCGTCATGTAGGTGGGCCTTCTGCAATGTGGCTGACTATTCTTTCATAGATGAGGTTGATGGGGAAGGGCTCCCGCTGCATTCCTCTGCCGTGCAGAACATGGACTAGAAACCTCTGGAGACGAGACGAATTCACCCCTACCATATGCGTGGTTTCCTACTGAGCTACCATTGCGTGGAGGACTATTGCCTTGAACTTTCCTTTTCTTTCACAGTTCTAAAACTGGCATTGCTCTCTTCTAGTATAATTTCTCCTTTCTGATGGGATACTTGAAGCACAAAGGGAAAAAAAACCTTGTCATCTTAATTTCAGTTCTATAACCTATGCGTATATTTAAGACTTCTCTTGTATGCTTAGATAATGCTGGTATGTCAGGATGACATTGGTGTTCAACAGCTATGGACTTTCCCATTGAAAGCACAGTTTGTTTCATAGAGTCTAAAACTTTATTTAAAAAATGCAAGGAGGAGGAAGTAAATGTTGGTATTCTGTTGTTTAGTGGAGAGTTTTTCTTTTAAAAACCTTTTTAGCATTTCAGCCCTTTCTTTTTCTTTTCTCTTACCCATTTAATGTCTTACTTGGCTTCTTCAATTTCAAGCATGTGTTCATTAAAGTCCAAACCTTTTTTCATACAAGGTAAATTTTTTACCATTATTCTTTTGCATTCTCTAGTGTTTCTTAACAACATAAGAATTGTCTGACTCAGTGTGGCCAAACATCCATCTACTGCAGTATTCTATTCAAAAGTGGTTAATAGCAAGTGAAGAGGCTTTTTTTTTTTTTTTTTTAAAAAAGACAAAATAAGTCTTGCCCCCCCCGATTTCCCAGCCCTCCAGCAGCTTGTGGCTCAGATTTCTGGAGCCAAAGGTAGTATCTTTGTTTGTAGTAGCCTCTGAGACAAATCATGCACTTTCAATTTTTAAATATTTATGAGGTGAAGGTATGGGCAGACCCAGTTCATCTTTAAGGATGTGGGAGTAAGGCTAAAATAAGAGAAACAATTCAGATTTGGATGTCACTTATTATTAATTTATTGCATGTAAATATACTGAATATACCAATAAGATGGAATTTTCTTCTTTAACAGTGAATTTTATGAGTATCATGCACTAATGATGGAGGAAGAAGGAGCAGTTATTGTTGGGCTATTAGTTGGGTTAAATGTGATAGATGCCAACCTGTGTGTGAAGGGAGAAGATCTAGATTCACAAGTAAGTCAATACAGGTAAAGTAATGTATATGCAATCCCTAAGATTTTTATGTACAGTGAATTTTGTTACTATGGAGTTGTGACTTGTTAGAAATCTTACTAGAGACTGTTTAGGGTGTGATCCAGCTCCTGGATCAGTGGGGGCTGTTGCATTAACTTCAGTATCAGTTGGGTCAGATCTTCACGTGGTGATAATTGTCAGAGTGCAAGGGTAAAGTTTTGTGCTTCATCATCAAATGGATGCAACAGTAGCAATGCAGAGTTCTTTCCATCTTAATTGCATAGCTCGTCCTTTTCCTTTGCGGGAGAAGTATACTTCCGTGATCAGTTTATCGCATTTGGTTCATTTATTGTTGTTCTGGAACATAATAGGAATGTTTCAAGGACCCAAAACAAAAACTTGCTTTGCATAGTATAATAAAAGACCTTATAACAGGGTGATTGCTTTCAGTCTGCAAAACAAGACTTAGAATTCTTCCTCCTTTGCAAACTGCTTTGACTTTGAACTCTGATCTTTTCCAAGAAAATCGTGACGGATTCTTTTTAAAGGCAGTTGCACAAGTACTTATAAATAAATGTAGGCTGTGTTCAGTCCTGATTGTTTTTGTCCAGCTTCTTTGTGGAAAAAATTGTAATAGTTTAAGTCGGCAGTGTTAGGTTTACAGTTGGACTCGATGATCTTAATTTTCCAACCTAAATGATTCTATGATTCTAAGTGATTATTACTGTATTTCAGCATATATTTGATGAAAAAGCAATTTCTATGGCAAATAAAAGTTACAGCTAATTGGGTATGTGTGCTGTTGAATCATAGGGTTAACTTGTCTTCGATTGTTCATTCTAATTACTGTCTAATGTTTTAGGCACTGATCTTGTGTTACCAGAAGACGTAATATTGAAAAGTCTGTAATTATAGAAAACTTACCAATGTACTCTTCTTAGTATTGACAATTATATGAATGTATTATAAATGACAAAATCTATTGCTAGCTACACCTTTGTTATCTAGGTCACTTGGTGGCTTCGCTGTGTGACAGGAGACAAAACTTGATTTGAGAAGGTAGTAGGTGGCTGTCCAGATGAGATTTTAGAGTAATTCAGTTTGTGAAGAGTAGTGCAAATACAGCACCTTCTTAGAGAAGCCAGAAGCAGCAAGTTGTATTGAGCAGAAAGAGAAACTTCTGAAGGACGACGGAAGTTGTATCCAGGAGCATAGTTTTGGTATGTTAGAAGAATGCTATTCAATGGTGAAACGTGTGTATGCGCACATGGAGTATTAAAGCAAAGTAACTTTTATAGATGTAACATTTTATTTTTATATAGAAACAGTATTTTGCTTTAATAAGCAAAACGGTTTTAAAAAGCTTTTGGAGGAGCGACTTCTTAGAAAAGATATGGAAAGAACAAGTAGAAGACCATTGTAGGAAACTCACAGGAGAGCATTGTACAAACCAAGGAAATGTTAGACTTAGCAAGTTATTTGTATTCAAAAGCTAAAGGGAGCTCAAGAAGGAAGCAGTGGATCAGAGAAATTGAAGTACTTTTGTGAAGAGGCTGCTGGAGACCAAAAAGGAAGGGTTTTGGTAAAACAAACGTGGTTAAATACTTCTGTTAGAGGTTCATAAATAGAGTTGGAAGCAGAACTCATGGTAATGTTATTTATAGTATATATGATTAAATTACAATTGAATAGAAAATAAATTAATTAGATTCAGATTTAGAAGGTTTAAAAAAATGAATGCAGTTGAGTTGGCACACCTGGGAATCGACAAGTGTGGAGAGGTAGCATTATTTGGCAGGGAATACTGAAAAGCTAAACATGGGGGGAAACATCAGTGGGAGATGTGGTGTGGTAGGAAATCACGTGAAACACTGTAGACAAATTATCACAAGTCTGCTCAATCCGTGATAGGGTTGAGTGGTATCTGATAATTCCCCAAATGAAAGTCTTTCTGTAAGTTCTTGGCTAAGCTCAGTCAGACATAAGAAGTCATCTTGTCTTTGGGATTTGGTATCTGGCACGTTGTTAATTTTGTTCAAAGGTAACATAATTCTTAAAAAATACGTGAGACTACACTTTAAAAAAAAAAATCTTGTTTAAAATGTTACAGTTCAGTTTTTTGAGCTTCTGGCTGAAACTGGACCGATCTTAAAAAATGCTGAAGTAACTGAGGTTTTAGTAATTATGTAGATACAAGACTGTGAATATCAACAGCAGTTACTTGTATGATATGAAACTATGTACATTTGCTTTCCCCTAGGTTGGGGTGATTGATTTCTCTATGTATTTAAAGAGTGATGATGACATTGGGGGTAAGGAAAGGTACGTTCTCACCAAATACCTCAGATTTTGCATGTTAACAAATGATTTCTTGACCAGTGTCCTGTTCTTTGTAGAAATAAGTCAGGTTCCCTAAAGATGAAGTTTTCTGATCTCACAGTGTTGAGAAAAATTGTACGCTACATTGTTCGGTGTTACTAGTTAGCTGGATGAATATTTGCACTCTGAAGCAAGCCTCAGCAACATCTCCTGCTTCCTTTACCTGATGGATAGTACTGGAGGATTGCAAGGCGGCAGTGAAAAAGAACTTGCTGACCTGTAAGCCCTCAGCTTGGGATTTAGTCAGTATTTCAGAGAACCAGTTATGGCAGAGTAAACAAACATCCTTTTTCTTTTGAGACTGTATATGTTCTTATGTTTCACGTAGAGAAATTGTTTGCAGTTAAAGCATTTGGTTTTTTTGTCTCTCACTAATGTCACAACATGTAAGTCATTAACTCCGTGATTGTGAGATGAAGTTGCTTGCTTTCTTTTTAAAAAGCACAATTAAGATGGACATTTGCATATGATAGATAGATAGGTATATTTTCAGTACATAGTTCACTATGTCATTTTGTGAAAGCTAATTTTATTATGTGCTTGCTTTAGAAATGTACAGATTGCTGCAATTTTGGACCAAAAGAATTATGTTGAAGAACTAAACAGACAACTGAAGTAAGTATTACTTTGAAGTATGCATGTCAGTCTAGGCTTCGAGGTAAAACATCTCTAATTCCTTTTTTTACCACAGCTTTGTGAGGGAGAACTTCAGAGAAAGGGGTGCAAATTCTTCATGATTAGACTGAGGATGTAGTGAGGTTGAAAAGGATACAGTCTTCTGGAGAGACTCAGGAAGTCTCAGTTTTCATGCTTTTGTTTTTGACAGTCAGAACCTTCATTCTTCAAAGAAATGAAAAGCAGCAGGCCAAAACTGATCAAGGTCCACATGATTTAAAAATTCAAAGGAATGAAAAGCTTGATCTGGATTTTAAGTGTGTTCTATTTAACGGTTTTCAAATAGTATTATTGAGCGTTCTGAGTGAATCCACATGTTTTTGTTTCTTTGCCTTTCGTAATATTTTAGTTTGTAGCTTTAAAGCCTAGGACCAAAACTAAATAGGTTCATTGCTTGCTGGAAACTACTTATACATTGGAGGTTGCGGTTCCTGTAAAAAGAGTTTTCAGGAAAGCAGCCTTTCCCCCTTACTTTGCTGGATGGAGCAAACATAGTCCACCACTGTGTTTGTTACTGTATAAATAGAGGAACAGTGACCGTAATTCTCTGAGGAATATTATACAAAATTAAACAGTGTGAGGAGCTAAAGAAGAAAAAAAAAAACTAAAATGAAACAGCAAACCCACAAAGAACTTCTGTAGAATCTGTAGTATAGCTAGTCATCTTGATCCCTTTTTGAAATGTAATTATGTTTTTTCATTTTTAATGCTGGTAATCTTGATCATTAGTTACTATATGGCTACTGTTGGGGTAAAGATATTCTGATTTGAAACTGTTGTCAGTCACTGAGCAGAAACCTTCAACAGGACAGAATAACCGAGTGTGTCAAATATGAGCAAAATGAAAAGAAGTTAAGGAGGAGAAAGGAACTATCGCAATTAAGAATAGTGGTGTTTGTGTGATGATAGCTGTCATTATGCAGGTGAGCCCCTGCGTATCGAGTATGTTGTTGTATGCTGGTCTATGCATGGAATTACTTGCAAACCAGTGGTTCAGCA